CATAGATAGACTATAATCACTGTTTCTCGTCGTTGTTTGCTTGTAATTTTAGTCTCACAGGTGTCTAAAGGTTGTAGGCATGTACTTTTTCCGTCATCTTAGTCCCTTCAACAAAAGATTTGTAAGTAGGAATAAAAGAGGGCTTAGACAGTTTGTTTCCTCTGTCTGTGCGCTTGCGCTTTTTCAATCTTCCACCCTTTTGGACACTACGCGTCACAAACTGTTCTATTTCAAGTTCGCCCCTTGAGGACTTAAACGATTTTCGAAAGAGTCCTAACAAACAAGGGATGTTATCACGAACCAGTAGAAGTGATAGTGATAATGCACCGACAGTTCAACCGTCGCTCTCGATGATGTTCACCGCGAACTTCGGCAAGCTGAAGCAACGCGGTGACTACAACTGAATCATAGTGAAAGTAGACTTGTCGGATCTGCTCCACGCTCTGACCACTCCCACACCTCAACCCGATGTCAAGACAAAAGTCGAGAAGACCAGAGATGGGGGAGGGTGCAGGCGGTGTGCGCGAAACACACTCCAACACGCGCCACAACAACACTACATTGCTAGGTAGGCTCCCACCTGGGAGCGCCATAAAGTCCACAGTGAGAAGGAGCCACTGAGCCTGCCTCTCAGTCCACAGTAAGCCCCTTTACTCAGCAGGACACACACTGGACTGACTGCGGTGTTCAAGGTATCCCGTCAGTAGGCAACCCTCCAAGCCACGGCTTTTAGCGCACTGCGATGGCTTCAAGCGCATCAGATTGTTTATAATGAGGAAAGAAGTGCGCTGAGCGTTGACTCCACTTTCTCTCCCACCACCAGTAATGAGCCATCGCCTAGCTGATCGGTCGCCTGAGGTGGGATGAGCGGAGTGCTAAAAAGGAAAGCAAGCCGGAGGTGAGCATTGTAGAGCAGGTTGTGCAAGGAAAGAAGTAGAGAAAGAAAAGACTTCACTGTTAATATAAGCAGTACCATCGACTGTGAATCAAACCCTTGCCGATAAGGGCTTCAAGCCAAATCCCTCTTCAGGGAGGCAGTTTTTCCACACTATTTTTGCTGACTGTCCGGTCGCTAATGCTAATTACTCTT